TTTTAATTGTTTTAATTCCAAAACAAGCGAATCATTTGAAATGTACATGACACAGCACCTCTTGGTGTCAAAGTGAAACGCGCAAACTCATTGATGCTCAAATCAGACCATCCAACCAAACCAGTTCATCCGACACATTGGTATTGGCATTTTCAACTGTCCAACAAATTGATGGATTCCCGTTTTTGGAACATTTCATGTAGTACTAAAAAAAACGTAGTTCGTTGGAAACAAACTAAAAAAAAAATTCCGAGTGGAAAAAGGTGACTGAGTAACCAATGATTGTAAGTGAATATAGTTGATGAAATACATAAAATTTGCATTTTGTCGACTATTCCAAAATATGTTCAAAAGCATTAGATCTACAAGAAATAGAGTGAAAGAAAAAAATATATGATAGCATCAGGAATTCAGATAAAAAAAGCTTGATGAAAATGCCACAAATAATAAAATCGCTGAGAATTTTTATTGGTTGTTGAAAGAAGAATTGTAAATGTCATATTATTGTTTTTATCAAAGAAAATTTACAGATATTGTTGAAAACGCAGATTTTTTGCTCTAAATTCTTGCGTAAAATGATCATAACATGCACACACAAAACATCAGTACTAGAATTGTTTAAATGCTTTGGTAAAATGCGAATTTACCAACAGCTGTCAAAATAACTATTGGTATGATTGTTTAGTCTATTGTTAGATTGTCGTTCTTTGTGAATCTCAAAGAGAAAGTCAGTGCCGGCAGAAGGGGAGCTGGAAAGTTTTCACCGATCAGTTCAATTTTCCGATTGGCAATCGATGATCGCGACATACTTTTGGACAATGTCAACACGTCTTCGGTTGATATGAATGTATTGCGATCGAGAACATAGATTATATCGAGATCTATCTCTTTCCTCAGGCAGTTTGCGAATCAGGCACTTTTTAGGTCCATCATTCTCCTAATAGGAATTTCGATCCATTCGAAGAATATTCAGACATATGGCATATGGAGTGCAATTGTCAATGTTGAGCTGAAGGAATTGGTGTCGAAGAATAATGGATTGGAAATGGCTGGCTTGGATGCTGTTGAAAAGCATGAAAACAAGATGCTTTTATATTGCTTGAGATAAACAGATCTACACTCTTCTCTTGCCATCGCTCTTAAATTTTAGCAATGACGAACCCGATTGAAATGTGCCAACAACAAATTCGTTTTCAAAAAAATGCTTCATGCTTCATTGAGGTTATCAATACAATGTATAATACGTTTTACATACGTCATAAGCTGTTGCTTGCATTTGGTGTATTTTCAAAAGGCAGTTAACACGATATAATTTTATCAACTCACAATAAATAGAGCGAACTGATTTTTTTCATTCAATCAATCACGAGTCAATTTTGCATAAAAATGTGTGAAAATTGTCACTTGGAATTCAGATAGTTAAAATAGCTGCGGGTGTGTTTTTACGATGTAATTGATTCGTTGTTACACATTTTTCACTCGAATTTTCGTCGTAACTCACAAAAAATCACTTGATCGAGCAATAAATGCTTACATTTCAAAAATTGGATCGTATTGCAAACTATTTCTTCGAATTCAATTCTTCAATAGACGAATAGGGGCGTTACACTAGAATTTATGTCGACAATTTCAAATGGTATTTATTGTAAATGTTGCACTATTTCACTGTACTGTATCGATGGCGACTTGTTTACATTTCAAGCGGTAAAATTAAATGCAACTGCACTGATTCCGAATACACACTTCCACTCACTTCATTTGCATTCGAAACTAAACATCACTCCTTATCACACATTTACTTTTACTTTGTGGACACAATACTGAATGTTTTCTTCTCATTTTTTTTTTCTTTATTTCAAATCTTGATGCATTTTTTTGTTTCTTAGTGTCAACGAAGTGTTATTTACTGTTTTTTTTTTCTCTTTCGTTTTAGTTTAATTTAATAAAATGGCATCTGATTCAGAGCAAATGAAAATAAAATAAAAACTAAGTGTGTAACTTCATGCAAACGTGAATTATGCGCTCTGATTTGAATGTGAAAGACCTATCAGATAACAATGTAAACAATACATTGTATATGTGCATAACGATAAAAAAAATGTGATGTGATGGGAATACGACGAACGAAACGGCCAAAACAATAGATTCGTGATGAAATGACAAACTCAACTGATATGCATACACACACACACAGAGAGAGAGAGAGAGAGAGAGAGAGAGAGAGAGAACGAGAGAGTACATACTAAAAACAGCGGCAGTATCAGCAGTGATGGCAGCAGCCGCAACTCACAAAAATCCGTACGCCAGTCATATCAATAACATAACAAACAAAATAAAATACTGAGTATGACACTTGATATATAAAAATGGGAGCTAACATAGGCGTAATCGTGGTACTCGATATCTATAGTATAGACTCCGTTGATTATTTGATATTTTTCATTTCATAAGTAAAATTTCATTCTTAAATCTATAGCCCACTTGCAAGCCTTCACATATAATCTCACTTCTTGGAATTGTTGTTTTTCGTGTCTCTATTTTCAATCTTCTAAATTTATTACTTTTGCGCAAAATGTGAAATGAATTTTGATGGTGATTTTTTGTGTCGTTTCGGACAAAAAAAAAAGAGTATGAAATGCAACTCGAAACAAAAATAGTCGATACGAGACTACGGCGACACAGCACGATTTTGAATTAAAATACACAAACACCAAATGTTGTGCCGAACACGTATCTAAACATACTAAACAAATTGAATTGAAAAAAGTGGAAAAATAGCCGATCAACTAAACCGCGCGCGCACATACAAGTTTAAAGGTATTCACGAAAATGAATGGCGGGCGAAATGGCAACACACACACACACACATCGTTGTATCTTTTGCGATGTGTTGAATTTTTTTTTTTGAATGTCTATGTCTGTTTTGTTTTTTTTTTTGTAGTTCATCAAAGTCGCATGCGTATGATCGTCATGTATATCATCTGTACTGAGACTGGAGTTGTGTTTTGCAGCAGCAAGTGTATTGCCAAAATGCAAAGCACGAACAAATAGTTTGAAACAAAAACTATTCCATGGTTACGTTACTTTTATTATTGTATTTAATTAGATGTCCGATTAAACGGGCCACATATCGAATCTATTCTGTTCTCAGTTTCGCAATGTGTTTTCTTTCTTTGCTTTTAATTTTGAATATTCGTTTTATTACTTTTGCTATAGATTGTCTAAAATTGTTCTAGACTTCACACACTATTATGTCAGAATAACAACCGAAAAATGAAGAGACGATGTGTGAATTAAAACATCGTATCGTGTGTACGTTGAGCAGATTGAAATGTGCACACAACTAAAATGAAGTGTGGAACCCATCACTTGTTATGGTATATTACGAATTCAACCATGTGTGTTCCGATTCAAGAATCACATACAACGAACGCAAAGTAGAGAGAGAGAGAGAAAAAAGTAAAATTATTAGACAACACATCGCGCTATACAGAGCGTAAGGAGAGTACAGACGATAATTTCATGCGTTTTTTTGTTGTTGCCTCTCATTGTGCTTATAGTCGTTATTAATTTTATGTGCTATGGTTTTTCACGATTGTTACTCGCGCTCTAGTCTTTCACATTTGTTCTTCTATCGGCCGTTTCATGTGTGCGTGTGTTGGTACGTGAAAAACGCCGATCCGTTCATCGACACAAGCCAACACGTACTTGCGTTAGCCAAAAGAAAATTATTACCAACAGAACAAATATTTCCAGACATGGTGATGAGAAGAAAAAACGATCTATATTAATGAAAGAAAATAAGCGAAGTAACACTGAGAACCCATGCAAAGAAATTCTCTCCGCGAGCTCAAATCACTGGCTCGACTATTTAAGATACCGATAGAAGACGTTTTTTTTCACTAAGTTTATGGCTTTATGGAAGATGTGAACTTCAAACATTCATTTAACAATTAAATATCTTGATGCCATACTTCTGTGCATGCAATATACCGCGTAGCGACATACAAACCAAAACGATAACGATAAACGCATTTCTCACATTTTCATCTCAATGAGAGAGAATTTCATAAAAACAACAAAGTCGGCACATTGTACTGATTCATATTTAGCCATTCTCTTGGCCATTTTTTTTAGCCATAATTCAATGGGCGTCAAAAGATTAGAATTTTGATAAATTTTCTAAATAAAGACCTTTACCTATAACATCGTTAAGACGTGAATGTTCTTATTTGCTTGTTTACAATTTTTTTCAAGGTATAGGCAGGAAGAGAAAGGGAGTGACTGAATTTAAATTGGATTGTTGGCGAAAAAGAGTCAATGGCGGTAAATTGCAGATAAGCGAGCGTGTTAGTTACGGTGAAAAAAAGAGAGTATACATTAGATGCTAATGACGATGGGAACAATATGCGAATTGGTTGAAGCCAATGTGATAAATATACGTGTGTGGATCTCTTACATAATAGACTCGATGTTTTGCAATGCACATGACGTTAAAATAACTGGATAATGCTAAAATAACTGGATTTTTCATAATACACACACAGAGCGAGAGAGACACTCATATAATCGCGTATTGTTATGTGCACTATTCTCTCGATTTGTTTCGTTAAGAATGGAAGAGAGTTCATAATTCAACACATTAAAATGCGTTTATCAACTGTATTCTAAACATTCGTCAAAGTTACAGATTCCGTTTGGTAGTTTGTTCACATTATTACCGTATGCCATTCAATTGTTTTCTTCTACATTGTTTATCAAATAAATGAGACCGCCACAACAATTCTCCGATCTAAATTATGACTGCTATGAAAAAAAAATTGGATCAAATCAATACTACTCATTAAGATTCATTTTCGATAAGCTTGCATTCTTTTCCACAACCACATTTGATCTTTCGTCGTTTCATTTATCTGTATCAAAATTACAATCAATCTTCAGTTCAAAATGTTTTATTTTATTCTTTTGTTCTAAAAACAATTCATCATACAATTTGAAAAAACAAAGAAAAAAAAACGTTTCTTTATATTGGTACTAAAACAATTTGTGATATATGTATTATTCATCCTCTGATTCAAGAAAATCGATATCTTGATATTCGTTGTTTTTGGTGTCACTATCATTACTATTTTCATTGGCAATAATTTCCAAGCAAATCTCTTCCACGTCAGATGCTGGTTCGGTGTCATATTCTTCGCTAATCGCATCGATTTTTTTATCTCGATTATTGTGCATCACAACATCGTTACTGGACGTTGAACGTTTCGATTTTAATTTTTGATGTTTTTTCTCACGTTTTATACCACGATTGGCATAATTATCGAACGGACGATTTACAACGAAACGAACATGTGGAAATTGTTTCTTTAAAAAATGTCGAAACGTTGAATAGCTCATAAGTTTACCATCGATTGAACAATTTTCACGAAATTTTTGATAGAGATTTATCCGTGGTTCATTCACAACAATGACACTTTTATTTAGATCATTTGTGTGCTGCATTAATTCGGATTTGACAAAATTTTCGGCAAATTTATATAAATCCAATGACAATGCGTTGTGAGGTTTTTTTCGAACATTACCATGAACACGAGGCACGACACCGTTAACCATGACATGACGTCGAATGCGTTTCAAATGATATTGGGTCACATTTTCGAGATAGATAAATGCATCAAGACACACTTTTTTCCCTTGAAATACGTACACAGCACGTTGCCGTATTCGTTCTTTATGCCGATTCGTTTCAGTTCGATTTGATAGGCATGCCATCGTAACACCCATAAGGTACCTTAAAGAGAGAAAATAAATGTTTCAAAAATGTCACACCACTTGATATACTTGATGTCACTGTTAAACAGTGCTTCTTACATGTCGTGCTCCTGTTTTGTCAATTCGGCAATATTCAAACGATGCCGATAAACACTTTCGGCTTGTAAATCTTTGAAACAAATTCCCTGGCATTCACATCCGACCGCTAATCGTTCAGCCACCTCACCAACTGAACTCTCTAGCAACGAGGGTGCTGCTTCTTTATCATCATTTTTATGTGAATCAGTCTTTTTCTGTGTAGTTTTTGGTTTCTTCGTTTTAACCAGTTTACGTGATTTTTTCACGGTTGTGGTGTTTAATTGATTTTTTTGATGATTTGAAACTTCAACGTTAACAAATTGCATTGGTTTATCATCCGAATCACTGAATTCCACATCAACAATTTCATCATCCTGATGCTTTAATACCTAAAATTGATATGTTTACACGATTAATTGTATTCGATTTTGAGCAATTATCAATGATTTACCACATTCAGTTGTGAGCCCAGTTTTCTTTTGATCACCGACACATTTTCCCAATGATCGGATGATGTATTACTGTTATTTTCCTCAAAATTTTCGATTTTTTCATTATCCTCTTTCTTTTCGATCCGTTCAACTGGTAATAATGAATGCAAAACTTCACTTGCTTCGCGTTCGGCATCTGGTATTGTCGATATCTATGATACAAATTCAGATGTGAAAATTGAATGCTTGTATTGTGTGTCTGTGTTTGTGGTTTTTTTTGCCATTGTTTACATTTTTCGTTGACAATGCACAATGTGATTGGTGTTGTTTTGCCATCGAACTTGATACTTATTGCATTGCAATAAGGTCGAATATCGATCGTCATACAATGTAAATATACAATGGATTTTCAACCAAATCGTCATTGCCAACAATGTTATTAAAATACCTCCATTTGAATGCCACAAAATCGTACAATAAATTTTAACTAGATAAATTCGTTCACATACACTTTATACACGTTTAAAATATAAAAATTTCATAAATTTCATTGAATTGAATGGTAAATTTTTCAAAAATACTCATAAAAATTGTCGATACAATAATGGCGATGCGTTCATTCTGTATTTTATAGCTGTCATCGTTTGCTGTCTGACTGAAAGTCGCTACGCAGTGCCATTGAGCACACGGTTTGGATTGTCGATTTACATTGGTGTAAGTGAAACGGTTATATGGTGACTTTGACATTTGTTCAGATAATGTACCCGCTCTCTTTTGTGTTGATATACTGCGATGCGGAGAAAGAGACAACCATATACACAGTATTACATTATACGTCTTACAAATACGGAGTTTGTGCAATGTCAGTAGCAGTATTTGTAGTAAATAAAGCAGCAGCGAACAACATTTATTCGTATCCAGTTTGAAACGAAGAGTTTCTTTGAATTCAGCGTGTCCATGCATTTGCAATGCAGTTGGAAAATGAGTGCATTTCTCGGTGCCATTGCTATTTATACCATTTAAAATACAAATTGCAAATGAAAACTAACATGTCAATGCCAGATTTTTCTATGCGAACCATCTTTTCACATGAGGCTCCGATCAATTTCTCAAGCCATATATAATTTATCCATTTAGCAAATATGAGTGTATGTGTATGTGCTCTTGTCATTCGAACACAAAGTTAAGAACGGAAAGAAGCAGCAAGTCGTCAGGCGGATTATATAATAGCTGATTTCCAACTTTAATGTTCAATACTTCGATGCACGTATTTCATAGACACATACATGCACATATTATATATAGATATGGCTTGGATTATCTTTTAGACTTATCTCTTCTTTGGATTATCGTAACGTTCGTGTATCTGGGCAATCATCCTTCGTTTCCTGGTACGTCATATGTGGTGATCCATGGGCAATTTTTATTCGTCAGAATTTTGTTTGCTTTCTTCCTAACTGGATTTTTCAGAATTATGTTCAATTCCGCCAAAATAACAAATGAAATGGTGTCAAATGTTATCATCCCGAAACATCATTGTTCTCATTTACCGCGACTTTTCTTTCAGGTCAGCATTTGCTTATTGACATAGATCTCGATATGTTTATATTACAGTATTGTTTGCATCATTCTAGCAAGATCATCATTTTCACACGTTTTGAAACATCCAGAATCTGGTGAAATATGACGGCTTCACTCGGCTACATGTTAAACATATTCATAAAACTTTTATTCGCATTTCTTTCGATTCTTTCATCTTATCATTCGCGATGATGCTCTGTTACATCAACCATTCTTTGGTTCTTGTCATCTTCAGCTTTATAGTTTTCACCGAGAAACAAACGAAAAGAGTCAAAACAAGGAATTCCAATGTGACGCAAAAAGAGAACCGTTTTTTTCCATCGACAAACTGCGTGCTCACATCTTATGCATGTAATATATGGAAAATGCGATGTTGACAATCAACTACAAACAGTTTTTTTTGTGGAACGAGATTTCAGGAAATTTATCCGAGCTCAAAATCACTTTGAACCCATAATAATATTTGAAACAATTTTATGCAAGCTAAATCGATGTAATTTTAGTTCTGAATGTTGAACGAATTTGTTCACAGCTAAAACGATAATAAATTCAATTCCGCATGAATAGATTTTGCAAACACGTGCTTTAGGGTGTTTTCAATGCGATTTCACCGTTCAAAATATGATGACAGCGCTTTTACAAACATTCAAAATTTACCAACGAATTTTTTCGTATTTTATCTTGTCTCGGTGTCGATGGATGGGCTATATTTGTACAAAACACATTCAACACGAAATGTATGTTTCCGTATTTTTAGTGAGTCTTGTGCACTTTTCGTTTCTCTCAAAACGATATTTCATCACGCACGCAGAACAACAACAACAAAAATTGCATTTGTTTTTCATTTGAGTTGTCACAGCGACATTAAAGGATTGGTCGTGTGTGTACAATTGCACATATGGTCTCAAAAATGGTACATTCGATACTTTCTATGTTTCGCAATACATGCCGTTGTTGCATGTCATTTGAGAGCCCATAGAAGAGCGATTTTCCTTTTGAATAATCAACGAAAAGAAATTAGAAGCAAGGAAAACATTGACACGATATATTTTGAAATCAGTTTTCAAGCTCTGTCGAAGTTTGCATAAAATCGAAATACTATTTGCTGATTAGTGCACTTTTTGGTTGCATAAAACATAATCTTTTTGCATATTTTTTTTGTTCGTATGAAAGTCAACGTTGTTTGTAGTGAACTTCATCGCTTCGATTTTTCCATATTTTATGTCAGACAGACAGACAGACTTTCAGTTCATTATCATATTTCACTTACTTTCGCTTGAAATAATCACTTCAAACGCAACGAATGCTCTTATGTTTGATGGTTTTTGCTTTTTTTATTCTTCTTCATTCTTTACAAAGTTGAAATAATTGCCAATGAATAATGAACACAAACCAAGTGCGACATGTCGCTTTCAGAACTATTTGGTGCCAGCAAGATTTTCAAATGGGATTTTCGTTTATGTTTTAACCAATATAAAATTACTAAAATGTAAAATGAATAATGGAGAAAATTCTAATATATAAATAAACAAAACTGAAAAAAAAACATGAAACGATAAAATAAAGAAAAAATGAAACACAATATCAAGTTTTACGTTGCGGAAAACCACGTTCTTCAGTTTGCAAATATGCTTTCCGCCATTGCATATCCAAGCGAAAAATACAAGTAATTTCCTTCATTGTCGACTGCGTGTGCGGTGTGCGGTGTATGTGTGTGTGTGTGTGAGTCTACTTTTTTGTGTTTTATAATTCCATTGATCCAGTGCTTTAAAAATGAAAACAAACGGCACTCACAAATTATCAGTTGTAGAACGACTTAAATAGTAAATAATCATAATTCAGCTGCATTCGTATTTGCTATGCAATGTGAAAATGCAATTGCATTTAAATGCAATTCTTTCGAAGACGACGAAATGATGAAAAAAACCCTACATACATTCAAACGAAACAAAAAGCCGAACAAAATGTGAAGGAGAGTGAATAGAAGATGTGTCTCAGTAACCACAGCGAAAAAAAAAGTGGTGAAAAAAGATGGTATTTATTCATCGTCTCATGACTTGAACTAGCTAATTTACACGGTGGCCACAATAACAGGTTTCATGATCATCAAGAACAATGATGATGTTGCTAATATTATAATACAATGTGAGCAAGCAGCACACAAAACAGATATAGAATTTATGAAATGCAAATCAATACAAACAAAAGTATAATAACCGTTTTTTTACTTAATGGAATTGCCGCCGGATTCGTAGATAAATTGCCAAAGCATGATGTTAAAGCCGAAGAAATAAGCGAAGAAAAACTGCGACCGTCTCATGAAATTGCAATAAAAACACACACACACACACATCGGTTATTATGCAATTTGGCTGAATGCATTCCGACGCCGCTGTTGTCGTCGACGACTTTGTGTCTGTGTTTCTTGCGAAAGACAGGATACTTCCAATGTGCCCGTTTTCATTGATTATTTTTTTTTATCACTCGGCGTGTTTCTTGCGTTTTCAAAGTTTCAATGTCTATGTCATGAGACGAAGTATGCAATCAAAATAATGATTCCAAAAAGATGATTTGCCGTATTCAAACAAACAACTTTCGTGACCATCATAAAAACTTTACTGGTCAATTTCGAATGTCGTATTTTTTTCTGTTGTTCTTTTCATTTCCAAACACCGGAAACTTGGAGGAAATATCGATTCAGACAGTGCAACGATGCACATCAACAATATCGATATATTTCTTGCCACATCTTCAAACACACACACACACACACACACACAGAGAGAGAGAGAGAGAGAGAGAGAGAGAGAGAGAGAGAGAGAACTACTGCATTTGTTAAATAGATTTCACATGCAGGCAAATCTTTCATCAATTGTTGCATTTCCAATTGTCATACAATACGGATGCGGTAATGTATTTTTTCGTGTTAGAACATTTGTATATTGATACATGTATCTGTGTGTGGTTAAAGCATAGAGTCAAAACATAATATTAGAAATCACATTACATGAGAAAGTCAAGAATCATCTTGAAAATTGAGATAAATGCTGAAGCGATGAACGAAAACTAATTTTAAATTCTATCTCTATTTGGTTACGTGCTGAGATTTTTTTTTTCTTCTCCCCGATAATATTCAATGATGCGCGTAGCAATTTGACGAGAGGTTTAAAGTCCCATTAAAAATCAACATGAAACGCATCTTCGCTTTGTATTCTTAAATCAAAGCAATTGTAGACGGTTTTAGGCTCTTTAGTACACTCTGCATCAAAGTGTAAAAAATCATTATGGCAAATGGAAAGATACATTTTCTATTGAATTTTTTATGTATGTAGATTGTATAGTGTGTGTGTGTGTGTGTGTGTCTGAGAGAGAGGTGAAAATGGAATTTCTTTCGATGAAGCGTGCTCAGATTCAAATTGAATTGATGCTATTGACAATGAAAGTATGTAAGTTTTTTTTCTTTTGAAATAAAATTTGATGCATTCAAATGACCAGTTACATAAAAAAAGAACAGCATTACCGATTCTGAACTTACTTCAATAACTAAACGTGATTGAACCACGCAATAAACGAAGTCAATGACTTTTAAATGCCAAGTAGCGTTCAAGAATAAAAAACAAAGCATTATAATAACAATGGTCTCCCGAAAAATCAAATGATTTATACAGAAATGGTTTCCTCTATAAAAAAAAATGATTCTTCTTTAATATATGCACAGTTCATTTGAATGAAATGCAGCATATTAATCGCGCAATCGTTAGTCACACGGAAAGAAAAAGAAAAACGGCAAAAAATGAAGAAAGAGACATTCGTATATGACATATAATACATAAAAATTTATTGAATTTCCAATTTCTTGAATGCAATGATGGGTAAATGAGAGTGACAGAGAGCATTTTCATGCTTAATGCTGTTAACCAATTGACTACCGTTTGTAAAGACGAGCGCAAAAAAAAAAGAAAATAGAAATACCTATATTAGTGGCATTCTCTGTTGATATCGTCAAATAAATTATAATGCGACAACAATAAAGTTCATTAAATCAAAGTT